GCAAATAAAAACTTATCTGTAAATACACCATTAAAACAATCATGCAACTTAGTGAAGTTCATACACTGAGAAGAGATGAGACTACAATTGTGAAACCCAAGTTGTTTCAAGTAAAGGATTTGATTAGGAGTTAGCAACATAGCACATGATATGGAAATGAGCTAAATTTATTTGAACTCTGTGGGTTCATAGCTTTAGAGAGTTAGAATATGGATCTGGAAAATTAAGAAATGACTGGGGAATATTTAAATAAGTTGCTTAATTTGATGTTGATGGACCATCTGAAACTCCAGGGTTTTGTTTTTTAGTAAATGTAAAGTTAATTTTTTTCTTTGCTATTTTAATAGTATCAGATGCCAGGGAACTTCCCAAATGCCAACTAATACTTGAGGGCTGAAGAATTTGCGATGTATTAAGGACTCAAAACCTCACTACTGTGGAGTCTACACCCACTCACAGCAACCCTATGGGACAGGGCAGAACTGCCCCTGGGGGTTTCCGAGGCTGTAACTCTGGCCAGTTCATCAGTTTCCCCTTCACACGGAAACCAAAAAGCATTGACAATATTTACACACACTTTTTATATAACTCTTTAAAGTCTCAATTTTAAAACTTTTTGAAATTCTGTTTTATATTACTGGGCCTCTAATAATTTGACATTCTGCTACTAGGTGTGCCTGAGCCTATTCTAAAAGATGAAAGTATTCAGTGTGCATTTGTGTAGTGTTTCATGAGACTGGGATCAGTGATGATGACAAAAGCCACCAACATTTACTCACGGAGTCTTTATTTTGTGCACTTCCATCATAGGAGATTAAAATAAATGAAATTATTTTGAGCTTTATCAAAGCTTAATATTTGTGACTTCTTACAATGAACAAGTGTGTGTAAAGTTATGCTACGGTTAAGGGCCTTCCAAAAAAAAAAGGAGGTACAGGCTATGGTTCAAGTACTTTCCTTGAACCATATCCTGCTTGGGGGAAGGAAAACCAAACTAAACTCACTGCCATCACTCCTAGCAAGGACGATGGCTTGGAGGGAGTTTTACAATGCTAATTTTCATACTTAGGTACAATTCAAAGGACTTGCATGCATTCTTATATTTTAGGCCAAATTCCTGTTCTTTTGTAGTCCTGTTTAAGCTCCTCAAACCAGAGGGCGCCAAGTCAATGTTCTTGCTTTTAAAACAAATTTCTGAGGATCGTTTAAGTACATCTGTAACAGTCAAACTATTACAACGGTCAGAACAAGAGTGCATGTTAAGCAAAAGCTCTAAGCTCAACAATTGGGAAAAAGTAGGGCCAAGTTCTATCAAAAACTCCAGGCTCTGGTCTCCCTCATTTGGGAGGCGAAAAGTTTTTCCGGAAAGGTGTCTGGTTCTGGAGGATTCTTTGTTGTGGGCGAGCCCAGGCCTGGGTGCTCTGGACCAGCTAGTCACTCTCAGGCCAGAGCGCGTAGGGAGGTAGCCAGGCCGAGAGCAGTGGGATAGAATGCACGGCTTCTCACATCACCCCCGCAGCCTTCCGGGGTGACGTGGCCCCTTTCTTAAAGGGGTCTCTCTCATCCTGACAGTTTTTGGACGTGTCCTGGGGTCTCCGAACGAACCCTTAGCCTAGTCTTGGGGTCAAGAAGCCAAGCCTTGAGAGCACAATTCCACTCCTGCTTTTATCTTCTTGGGGCTTAAAGCACCTGCACGTCAGAGTTCTGGCCTTGGGAGGCGGGCGGGTGCTGGGGAGAGGTGCCAGGCCCGCGGCTGCAGATCTCAGCGGCTCGGGGAATCTGCCGTCGGCCCCGGGGTGGTGGTGGTGGGGGGCTTCCTTGCCTCGACTCTCTTCCTTTCCCCTGCCATTCCTGAATTCGCTGCGGTTCCCACTCGCT